TCAAGCCCCAATGGCCCTTGAAGAACTTCCACCAACTCAAGATCAAGCCCCGACGGCCCTTGAAGAAAGTGTTTATTGTTCATCATCCGTTCATCCTAAGATCAAGCCCTAACGGCCCTTTAGATCAACAACATCAACAAATCCACACATCCATTCTTCAAGATCAAGCCCAAAAGCCCTTGAAGAAAACCAACTGTTCATTCAAGATCAAGCCTCGACAGCCCTTGAAGAAAACCAACCGTTCTTCAAGATCAAGCCCAAAAGCCCTTGAAGATCCGCTCATCCATCAACATTCAAGATCAAGCCCTAAAGGCTCTTGAAGAAACTTCCATCAACCTTCAAGATCAAAGTCACGAAGGCCCTTGAAGAAACTTACAACTGTTCATCCAAGATCAAGCCTCGACGGCCCTTGGATCAACAAATCTACATCTTACGGAGATAAAATCAGAGGATCAAATTTGAGAGATCATAACCCCAAAATCATTAAACAAAAAAATATTATTTTGTACACGTATTCTTGTCTCTTGTTTTCAGGAATTTTCCGTGTTCACAATATTCATATATCATAACGAACTACAGTGTTTAAGTATTTCCAAAAACAGTGTCACAGAGAGAAATAAAAATAGAGAACGGGAGGATAAAAGGGGTAAGGCGTTAAGTGGAGGAGCATTTGCAGGTTAATAAGTTGTCTTGAGCTGCAACAGACAAAAGTTTGTTTGCTTTCATAAGCTAGGATCACAAGGCAGTGCACATGTTCATATCCTAAACCCGTTAAATAAAAAATGTAATTTTAGACTCTGTAGATCAAACAGTGCCACTAGCTCAAGATACGATTGTTCTAAGGGCCCCTTAGAAACCCTTGAAACATTACACTTTAGAGAAAAACACTTCAAGCTCAATACTTGGGGTAAAAATACCCTGGGCTGACTTTGTAGCGGGTGAAGGGCAACAAAAGAATTTCACAACTAAGAATCAATTAAAGTATGAATAGTGGATAGATGAGGGTTATTTCTCCAAATGAGCTTTGAAGTGTTTTTGTGTAAATCTTGTAGTTGTCTGTGTGTGTGAGTCTTCTAATTTATTATTGTTCAAAATTTTTCTAATCTATATGACCATTGCCTCATTAGTTACAACATCATGCAATTAAAAACATTCTTTGAGAACAAATCATTCTGAACAATTATTTTAAATAAATATGATTACTTGTGAAGCTCTGACTAGAAATCCCACGTATGACCCCAGAAAAACAATGCAAAATATGATGCAATACCTCCTAAGGTAACAGCTTTAATGAGTAGCTGGTAGGGTTGCACTAACAATTGTTGAGGTTTTGGAGTTTCGAGTACTGACTTAAAATTATCCGGGGTGAGACTTTACTGTTTGAAATTCTAAACTAAGTGCAAACTGACCACAGCAAACCTTCAAGGACTCAACATAATTAACTACAACTTATCACTTTATTTTGACAGGGGTCTCTACAGTTAGTCCATAAAAATGAGCTAACTTGGTGATATCAAAACACGATGACAAGGTTGGATTGCAGTTGTACACAGATGAACGTCTGAACTAACTATATAAGGGAGGAATAAGTATGATCTAGTCCTTGGGCCTAGGAAGCCTTTGGGATACCCTTGACTAAGTCAAAAAACAGAAAAGTATGATCTAGTATGGTGCAAAGTTGGGGAGGGGTGAAAAATGTAAGAGTGCCTCTATGAAACATATGCATACAGTACATATTGAAAGGTGTACACGATAACACATATCAAAAGGTGAGATAGATATGTTCACAGCTCTGCCTGCCCCACTTCGTTCCACCCATCAATTTCTTATTACACAAAAATCCACTCATTCTAATTACGGATTAGTAGACTTATGCCATGATACAGTCATACACCCAAAAAATCCATCCACACAAAAATTCACTCATTCTAATTACGGATTAGTAGACTTATGCCATGATACAGTCATACACCCAAAAAATCCATCCATACTTTTTATGAATAAAGTCCATGCATACCTTAGGTTGGTGAAACAAGAAATAATAATGAAAAAAATTTGCATAACTTGGACGAGGAAACTTAACTCCTGAAATATCCAAAGACGCAACTTTTTCTTCATGTCCAGAGAGCATTTTGACAGGCTTAAAATCCCGGGCCGACCATATCTGGCAAAGATGAAATATTTCATAGTCAAGACATGAAACCAACAAAATAGTGATAACAATTAATAACTACAACTCGTATCAATTCAGAAATCCAGGTTCTCAAAAGAAGTATACCTTTGCTGTCAAATCATATGAAGCAGTTACAAGGAAATATCCCTCTTGAGGCTCAAACTTGACCTGTGATATGAGACTGGAATGTGCTGGAATGGTGTACATGGATTTCTTTTTCGTAAATCCCGTATCCTGCAAGTATTGTCTTCGCCCCCAGTGGCTAAATAATAGCCATTTCCTGAGAAACTGAGTGCAAGAACCTGAAAGATAGCCAAATACATGAATGAATCGTGAACAATAAAAAACTATAACTAATAGCCCTTAGATAACACTAGAGAAAAATTAGTGTCTCACTATCTTGACATGGCCTTCCAAGGCAAGAATACTTCTACCATTACGGAGGTCCCAAACATGAGTAAGTGCATCCAGTCCAGAGGATCCCACCAATGATCCATCAGGATGGAAGTCTATCCCATAGACACTCCTACTGTGACCCTCTTGAAGAAGCAACTCTTCACCAGTTTCTACATCCCATAACCTCCATGTCTGGTCAAAGCTAGTTGTACCCAAGTACTTCCTGATGGATGGAAGGCAATTCGTGCCAGATGGTCCAAATGGCCCTTATATGTCACCAGCTGAGTTCCTTCGGTGTTCCACAACCTTGCTGTCCGGTCAGCAGAGGCAGTTGCTAAGAGGTTATGGACAGGAGAAAACTGAACATCAGTCAGTCGCTCCGTGTGTCCCTTTAAAGTGGCAACCTTCTTTGTATCAGGCATGCTTCACAACTTGGCAACTCCACTTATAGCACTGACAAAAGCAAAACAACAAGAAAAATCAATTCAACCTCTTGTACATGCAATAGTAGTCTCGCAAAATCAACCTCTTGTACATGTAATAGTAGTCTCGCAAAATCTATCACCCTAACAAAACAAACAAATCATGGCCACCCTCCTATGAGAACCGAGTTAGCAATGGCATTTTGATACAAAAAGGATGACACTTTCTTCACTGATACTGACAAGTTTATCTCTCAACCCAAGATGGCTATAGTCATCGAAAATCAAATAGCAGGAAATAAACCACGAACTGTTTAACTTAGCAATCAATTAAATTTGCAATTTAGACACCATAAAAGAGAGGCAAGGAGATACATACACCAAGTGGCAAGCAGTTGGCTATCGTGTGAGAAAGAACAACCTGAAAGTGGCCTATCATCCCCAATCTCACTGCAATCAAGTTCCAAGCTTTTTGCCTCCTCCAAAACCAAGTCCAACTCTGCATCCATATCCTCATCTGGGTCATCCTTCTTCCTTCGAGCTCGTTCGAGCCGCGAGGCTGCCCTCCTAATGGAGTACTTGGCAATGTCAATCCTAGCATTCAACAAAGCTTTGGACCCTTCAGTGTAAAAAGGGTACTGAACAATTTGATCATCACCATCCTCCAATGCAGCAGAAGAAGCCGCAGCCTCCTCCTCATGAACTTTCAACAACCTCTCCAACTCCCCTTGGGAATCAAGCCTCGCCATGATCATCCTCAACCTGTCTCGCCTTTGCATCTCTCTCTCCCCAAAGAGAGTAATGGGTTCGCCGAGCCGCCGAAGCCGAGCCCTCACGGCTCGTTGGTGGGAACAGCAAGAGCAGAAGCATGGCGCTTCATTAGTAGCTCCTGCAATGCTTTCTCCTGCCGCTCTCTCACCACCCTGCTCTCTACCGATGTGTCGTACTCCCCACCCGAGACGACGCCGGTAGGGTCGTGGAGGCTGCTCCGAGTTGGAATCATCCGAGTAGCTTGTGCTCGTCCTCGCTTCCCCATTTTGTGGTGGCGGTCTGAGTACAGGAGCGAGGAGTGGATCAAGTGGGGGTGCTGCAACAGATGCGTCCACGACAGTTGATAGAGATTTCTCCTCCTCCGTAGTAATCTGAATACCTCACAAGGAATTACTTTCTCTTTCTCCTTTTTTCTCAGTGAGACGTATAAACGAACATTTGGTGTGCAATATGACAAGGAGAACTCCCATTGTCTGCCTTTTTCTTCTATAAAAATAAAAATAATAATCTCTTCTCAGTATATAAAGCCATGGTCTACATTAATTTAGTCATTTGACACCTAATACTCCTATATTCACTCGTACGTGAAAGACGTTCGATTATTGTTAAAAATAAATTTGAAGTATATTATTGTTAATCTCATTTCTTCCCTTATCTTTTTTTAAAGTTGATACTATCGTCTGTTAAAAAAAATTATTCTTGATTATTTCTGCTTTACTAATATAATTTTGGCCGGGAAGTTTTGATAATATCGAGTGTTATTCCTACTTTGGCATTTCGCAACAGCAGCACGAACTGAGGGCAAAATAGTAAAACCAATACGGAAAAGAAGTTAGGGGAAAAAAAAAGCCTTCTCTGTCTCCATCAGTCAATTTTCCCAAACAAAAGTCTCCCTTTGTTTTTGTGCATGTGTTAATTTTACTTTTTTTTTTTTTTTTTTTCTGCAGAATCTTGAGATGATCAAGGGCGCAGACACCACCAAAGGGGCTCATCCCCTCCATCAATCAACCAAACAATTTTAACCGTACCAACTTTATTTTCCCAGCATGTGCTACCCTCGTCCAATAATATTATGACATATATAAACACACATAGCATGATATTATTAGATTGGAAATCCATAGTGGACCACACGGCATGACAATATTGGTCTCACGAGGATAGTGAACCCGATCCACATAAGTCATTATTCCGCTCTCTGAACAGTGAACACTAACCAACAAAAGAAATCAAGAAAATATAAGCCAAAAACAGACTGCCTCTGCACTTTGATATTCTGATTTCATTTTACACTTGCAGTGACAATCAACAAACATATATCGCCTTAGATATACAGGCACTCTCCCAACCAGTTTTCAGAGGCTGGGCTGGCCTGCCACAATATCTCAGGCGACCTTTTTATTCCATGTATACATTGCACAAATGCTACACATACAAACTGAATTAATAAAATTGGTACGACCTCGCCGATTTCACTTCACATTTATACTACCCCACTGTTATATACTCTGCCCTAAACAGCCAAAGACGACGAAAAACATAAACTACAATACACATCACTTACCCGAGACACACGCAAAACTGGTTTCCCCACCCATTCGAGTCTCGAGATTTGGTTTAAACTTCAGAGTTTTACTGCCTCACGCCAGGTTCTCGTAACCAACATGAACTCTGGTGTTCCTTCTCCCACCGTTGCCCCACCCTTTGTTCCTCCACCCTCCGCGTTTATGGTGGTAGTCACCTTGATATCCAGAGGTGTTATGCTTTGAGTTGTACCAACTACCACCATCTTTCTTCCTGCCATTTCCATCTGAATTTCCCCATGAAGCTCCACCAGCTCTTCCGTTCCAACTGTCGTCCCATCCTCCTCCAGCTGCTTTGCTCTGAGTCTGGGCAGAATCAGGTCCCCACGGATTTTCTTTATTATCCGCATTCCATCCACAATCCCAGTTTGCAGGATTTTCTTTCTTTTTGAAGCCTTCCTCGGCATCACCCCATCCACAATCCCAGTTTGCAGGATTTTCTTTATTTTTGAAGTCCTCCTCAGCATTGTCCCATCCACAGCCCCAGTTTGCAAGATTCTCTTTAGTTTTGAAGTCCTCTTCAGCATCGCCCCATCCGGTGCACGCAAATGACTGATCTAAAAGGAGAGGATTAACAAGAGTGACACCCTTATCTTGGTTCTCATCATCGTTGGGTTCAGGTTCCCTTTCCAGGTCCAAAATCAGTTCAGGATCAATGCTTGAATTCCAATCTATGTCATCAATATAAATGTCAGGATCTGGCAATGATATGTTACAAGGCACGCCGTTAATTGCTGCCCAAAAGCGGTATTTCTCATTGTTGAATGTCTCCAAATTAGCAGAATCATTCCATTGAATGATGCTTTCATAGAGATACATATACTTGTTTGTTTCTACGACCTTCCGCCATGGAACTGAGCCAACAATCAAACAGAATTGCTTTTCCCAGTAAGGCACACCTAATTGCCAACTATCTGCGAAGCAAACAGAAGAGAACTGTCAATTCAATCATCATGAACATACAAATATACTACATTTGGATAACAGTTAAAAAATCTAGACAAACAAGAACTTCCTGAAAGGGGAAAAAGATGCAATAAATCATCACAGATGGAACAATGATGCAACTTAGAAGAAGATACAATGCCGGATCATCGAGATGGAAATATGATACAACCTTGAAAAGTGGTGCAACAAGTAGATTTAGAAAGAAAAAAAAAACCCAACACCAATAATGACAGGTTTCTGGTTGTTCCCGATTTTGATAGCAGTTTCACAATTTGTCGTTTTTCAATTTACAATATATCAATCTCACGTTAACTTTAACAGCTAAACTAACCGAATCAGCAGAACCAATTTCCAAACCCTAGTGTCGTTATTCTCATTAAAGCCGGGAATACCTCAAATTTAAAACTTTACTCTCAGGTGTTAACGGCTACACTAACCAAATTAGTGAGAACCACATGCCACACCCTAGTGTCGTTATTCTCATTAAAGCCGGGAATACCTCCAATTTAAAACTATTACTCTCAAGTTGACCTTAACGGCTACACTAACCAAGTCAGCGAGAACCGCCTTCCACACCCTAGTGTCATTATTCTCATTAAAACCGTGAATACCTCCAATTTAAACCTTTCATGCTCACATTACCCTTGACTGAATCAGCAAGAACCACTTTCCAAACCCTAGTGTCATTATTCTCGTTAAAGCCAGGAATAGCTCCAATTCAAAACTTTCATGCTAACCTTAACGGCTAAACTAACCAAATCAGCACAAACCACTTCCCAAACCCTAGTGTCGTTACTCTCATTAAGGCCGGGAGTACCTCCAATATAAAACTTTTGCAATTCAAATATAGAGGCTGCACTATCCCATGCACACATGCTAACTAAAACCAGTAACAAAACACAAACCTCACCAAAACCCCTAGCCCTTGGAATAAAATCTACTTAGAAAATTAACAACTAAACCATGACTCGAACACCTCTACATTTTCAGCATAAAACTTCTGCCATAAAAAGCCACAGCTTGCATCATTGTCAGAACAACATCTTACTCTAAACAAAACTAACCTCATAACAAAAACACGCGGTACAAAAAAATGTTAAGAGCCTCAGCAGGAAGTGTCTTTGTTCTGAAACTGTTAACAAACTTACACATGCTTTAACTGAGTGAAAAAAGGTTAGCCTAACGTTTGAGAAGGGGGATTACCTAAATCACAATTGCTCCTCATGTTTAGATTGGAAAATAAAATTTTCACAGTACAAGTAATCCAGCAGAAATTTTTCTTTGGTAAACTTTACGCCGTTCCGTAGATTTTAGAAGACATCCTGATTATGATTTGATTAAGACTTGTGAGTAATTTAAGGAGAAAACATATGGACACTGGTTTGGATAGTATAAATCTGGGGAGAAACAGAGGAAAGACATTAGTTTCTCTTTGGTCCCACTTTATTTTCAATTTACAGAGAAACATTAGATTTCCTTATTGTTTAATATTTAAAACCTCATTTTTTAAACCCAAACTTGGTTACAAACCTCACTTACAGATTATATCTCAATTACTTTCCTACTCAATTAAGATTTCCCCCATCAAAACCAGCAAATCATTACCTCATTCATCAATGGCCAAACAAAAAAGCACAAATATTATAAATAACAGACAGAGCCAATGATATGGAAATCAAAAGAGAACCCAATTTCCTAAACCAAAAACCCACCTCAAACATACAATCTTTCACAAGAATTACAGCCTACAGCTCATGCAACAGCTCAAAATTCCAAGAAAATTAAAAAAAAAAAATAGAAATTAGAAAACATGCCTTGGTGGTGCTGTGGCCTTCTGTTCTGCAGTTTAGTCCATGGATTGTGTGGAGGATGAGTGTCACCTTGTTTCCTTCTCCAACTCATTACTCAAAAACCACAGCAACCCAAGAATCCCAGAAATGAATACCACCACAGATTCTGTGAGTCCAATCAGAAAAACAAAACAATTAAAAAAATGATAAAACGAAGCAAAAATTACAAATTCTGAGGCTTTTCGATATGGAGGTCTGTGAATTTTTGGCCAGGCAGATCCGATGATAAGCAGAACAATCAAGAAAAAGGGTACATATATATATACACACCCATACAATATATCTGTGTGTGTGTGTATATATATTTAGTTATTTGCCAATTACCAAAAGAAAGAAACTCCGGAGGTTCAAGAAGTGTCGTTTCGACGCTTTTAGTTTCCTAAAAAAAGACCCTGGTTTTTGTGATTTGGTGTTTTTGATATTCTGCGGCCCTCGGTTTTGTATGAAATTACGAAATTGGATGTTTATATAGCGTGGGAGTTTTCCCTTTAGATGACGAAAGGAAAAGAGGGTCGGTGACTCGGTGGCCGTCGAAGAGGGTTTCGAAACCCCACGCGTACGTCTTGGTTTTCGATACTCAAACACGTTACCAGCTTTTTTGGATTCTTCTCTCTTCTTCCGTTACGAATATTATGTTCAGATTTTTATTTTTATTTTTTTCTTAAATGGAAGGGATAAATCCTTCCCTTAGTAAAGAAAAATACATACGTCGATTTTTCCACTCAATTTGTACAGAGTTGTCAATTTACTTATTGAATTTTAATTTTAATTCATTACTCACTTAATTTTTATAATTAGTCAATTTCTCCCTTAAATTTTAATTTTAACCGATTATCTCATAAACTTTTATAAATAACCAATTTTCTAACTGACGCTAAATTCCAAAAAATTTCATCCATTTTGATCATGCAAACAACTCATAACAGTTGTGTGGACAAAACAAATGGAAAATTGGACGGATGAAAATTGGATGAAAAATTTAAAACCTAATGCCAGGGGGAATTGGCTATTTATAAAATTTTATGGGGTAATTGGCTAAAGCCAAATTTCATGAGGGAAATTGGCTAATTCTAAAAGTTTAGAGGAGTTCAAAGGAAAATTGACAGCTCTATATAAGTGCAGGGGGTAAACTGACAAATATCTCTAAAGAAAAATGCCATTTAAATTTTAGTATGAGTGATATTAAGCTCATTCCAATGTCTTATTTGTCACATCCCAGCCCGGGCGGGACCACTTCCCGAGCCCGCTCCACCACCGTAGCACGATATTGTCCGCTTTGGGCTTACCATTCCCTCACGGTTTTGTTTTTGGGAACTCACGAGCAACTTCCCAGTGGGTCACCCATCATGGGATTGCTCTAGCCCCCTTCTCGCTTAACTTCGGAGTTCCTACGGAACCCGAAGCCAGTGAGCTCCCAAAAGGCCTCGTGCTAGGTAGGGATGAGAATATACATTTAAGGATCACCCCTGGGTGATGTGGGATGTCACAATCCACCCCCCTTAGGGGCTCGACGTCCTCGTCGGCACACATGCGGCCAGGGTTAGGCTCTGATACCAATGTCACATCCCGGCCCGGGTGGGACCACTTTCCGGGCCCGCTCCACCACCGTAGCACGATATTGTCCGCTTTGGGCTTACCATTCCCTCACGGTTTTGTTTTTGGGAACTCACGAGCAACTTCCCAGTGGGTCACCCATCATGGGATTGCTCTAGCCCCCTTCTCTCTTAACTTCGGAGTTCCTACGGAACCCGAAGCCAGTGAGCTCCCAAAAGGCCTCGTGCTAGGTAGGGATGAGAATATACATTTAAGGATCACCCCTGGGCGATGTGGGATGTCACATTATTTCCCCACCCACTTTGAAATGATAATTTATTGACAAATTTATCCTAATATAAAATGACCTTAAAAACTTAAAGACCAACCAATCATGTTTTGTCACATAATTATTGGATATCTTGACAAAAAACCTAAAAATATCATAAATAAGAAAAAGGAAATAAATATCATAAACCCCATGTCCACAAGCTTTCCTTGAAGCAAGGCCTCGAGACTCACAATAAAGTGAACGTTGTGGAAGATGTGATCAAGCTTCCCATGAGGAGGGGCGTAGGGTGTTGGGGTGCGGTGGTGCCTTGACTGAGGATTTGGGGGTGTTGAGGTAGTTATAGTTCTGAAATATTTTGGGGAGGAGGTTGTGCTGGTGGTGATATTTGGAGTTCTTGGGTAATGATGCCTTTCTTTTTAATTATAATAATTCTTCAAGGCAAGGAAAATTTGAAATAAATATGTAAGGTTTACTTCGGAAATAATGGTGGGTGGGAAAAGAGTTTATGTATTTTTCAAATTTTTATGGTGGGTGTAAATATAAGGTGGGTGGGAAAATAAGACATTGGGGTGGGTATAACACCACTTTTTTAGTAGTTATGGTCGGAAATGCTAGTTATCTACCAATTCTGCTCTTTCACCTTCTCATTCTTGTTCTATGATTTGGTTTAGTGATACATCCGTTCATTTAATATGTAAAAGTATTTATTTCAACAATATATTCACGTTAAGGGAGTCTGAGAAAAAGTTAGTTGTGAACTCCCAAAATTAGAACTTAAGATTTTTTTTGACACAACACTAGTTTTGTTTTTTCTTCTATTTATTTTATAACAATTGTGGTTGTTTAAATTATTATTTTATTTGACAGATTTTTCACAGAGATTTTCTTTAATACATAACACATGTATGGCTTTAATCAACTAAACACATTGCAGATTCTTTACATATTGGAAGTGCTATTCTATAAAACGCTTTTCTTGACTAGCACTTTTAGTTCGTTGCACTTTTCAGTAGCGCTTTCACAATTGTTGTTTGGTAGACAACCAACTAAGTATTTTTGCATTGTATGGAAGCACTTTGATATTTTTTTTTAGCAGAAGAAGAGCTTTGATATTACATAGACTGTTTGGTTTTCCTCATAAATTTTTGCATGAGTACTTTTCGTTTATAATTAGCATACAACTTGATTAAATTGTTGATGAAAATTCAATGCAAAATTAATGATTAAAATGTTTATAAAAAGTCAATAAAGAAATTAATGACCATTAAGAAAATGATACCTCCCTAATTGAAAATATATCTAGTTGACAATTTGTTAATTAGGAACAAAATGACACATTATAGTTACGTGACAATTAAATGTGAAATAAGTATTTGTTAATGCTTAAAACAAGGTTTAAGCGGTTCACCTGTAAGAATGAGCTATGTCCATTGGAGTAATCAAATATATATTTGATGTGAATTGCAATAACTCTCAGTACAAAGTAATTTAACTCTATTCTCGTGGAATCGTTTGTTTATAAAGAATACTCGCATCCTTTATATAGGCTTTTAGTTAGCCCTAAAAGTCTTTCACCGTCCACTAGTAAATCGGGTGTACCTAGACTTGGTCTATAGGCTACTTCTCTATTGTCCGATCATCACGTGGAAAAGAAGTGACATATGCACAAGGCAATTTGCTTGATTTCCTGGGCCGACAGCCCATGAGCGTAGCGTTCGTGCTAGGGTGGCTAGAAAATACTTTTAGTCGAGCACTGAGTCTAACAACATTCATGTTCTTTCATAGAGTTTCTTTTATGTTGCTGGCCAACGCGTGGCTTGGAGTTTCCGTTTAAACAGATCTGTCCTTGGAGCTCCGTACTTGAAAGTTGTCAGGTCTGTTAACTTGCTTCTTGATCAAAAAAGTACTTTAAGTCCAATGCTCGTTCCTTTTTGTCGGTAGACAATCCAGGGATTTGATTGGTTGTTGATGGCGGTCGACTCGTTGTCATTGAAGTAGTGCTCTATTTATCGAATCCCTTGGGCTGTCTTGTGGCCTTATATCTTGATCTTTTATCACTTTGTGGGGTCATTCAAGGCCTATAAGGTCTAAACAGATATACATTATTTTAATGGGTCTAAAAGGACCATGTGTTAACACATTATTAACTAGACATAAGAAGATTAGTAATTATTTCTCATTCAACCTATATTTGTTGCCTATGTGTAGAATTTTCATCAACAATCTCTTCATCTGTATGGGTCATCCTCATTATGAACGAAAGTAGCTTGCCATTATCATAAGTTTGGAACTCTTGATCTGTCATACAATGATTCTTAATAAAATTGTGTAAACTCATTGAAGCAACAACAATTCCTACTGTTTTTTCAAAAACGAAGTTACGTATTCAACGAATCATTGTACATTTATTTTTCTCAAACACTAAAAGTTCTTTCAACTGTGCATCTTAAGGATGAATGACTCTCATTAAATATTTATTTTTTTCCTTTTGCCTGACTTCCACATCGATGTTCAAGAAGATGATATCGTTCACCCATATAAGGTTTAATTTATCGTTTCATATGTGGATATCTAGCATCAACTAAGTATACCTATATACATAATTGAAAAGACAAATATAAGGAGTTTTGTTTTCATAAGATAATAAATGAAGAAACATATTCATATAAGACTAAAGTTGATTAATAATAAAAAAAGGGTAAGGAAATTTCAATTCTGGTATTCTCAAGGCCTCCATGAATATACATGAATCATGAGCCTATATAAATGTCAAGTGCATATTAAAATCACATATAATCATAACATTTTGCAATTTGTTGCCCCTTTGAAATATATGGTAATTACATTTCTCTAGGCACGACAACTGGTATATGTGTTCCGTTAATTGGTCCTATGTAACCCTTGAAATAAGTCTAATATCGATTGCAGTGTTTTAAAAGGAGAGCCTAGGCGTCTTTGGAGGCATGGCGGGAGTGATAACGGCTCTACCCAATGGGAGTGGGCAAAAACTCACCCAACTGCCTAAAGGCGGATGGCGGGCATTCCCAAATTCATTAGCGACCAGAAATTGAAGTCAAATGGCTTTGTCATCTGGGTAAATTAAAGTCGAAGACTGCCTTCTAGGTTTATAGTTGCAAGGTGTGCGGCATCTTCACAAGGAAGATGACTGCAAAGAAGAAGAAGAGGAATTTTTCTTTTTCTTTTTAAGACTTGTCCAAAAATGATGTCATTTTGGCCAAGTCTTTAATTTTTTTTAAAAAAAATGACTTGGCTCATAACAATGTCGTTTTGGCCAAGTCTATTTTTCTTTTATTTTTGAAACCCACAAGAGTCCCATGTTTCCCTGTTTTTCTCAATAACTCATAACAGTCCCCTATTATTTAAGGTCTCATAAGGCTTTGCTTGACGCCTCATGCCTAGGCGCGGCTATCCAAGGATCACCTTTGCCTTTTAATACATTGATCAATCATCATCCTTTTCATACAAACACAATCCTTCGAATTTGTTCCATCTTCGGAATCATAAGAAGTATCATAGGAAACTGAAAGCTATGATGTTGTTGTAGAAAATTCATTTTTCTAGAAGAGAATTTTCTAGAAGAGAGATGTCTTCTCTAGAACTACTAATTAGATAGTGTACACAAATGGAAATGCATAAATAAAAGCAAGAAACAATTAAGAATTCTTTAGTCGGTTACAAGTCTCAGAGTAAGCCTTAACATT